AGCTCTCCTGGGAGAGGAACCGGAGCTCCTGCAGCAACCTGGACATCTTCCAAGACTGGAGGCGCCAAGAGGCCGAGATCTTGACCGTGTTCATCTTCCTCTCCCAGTTCCTGCTGCCCCTGGTGGTCATCTCCGTCTCCTACTCCATCCTGGTGGTGGCCATGAGGCGCAAGAGGCTGGCCAAGTCCAGCAGGTCCCTCATGGTGGTCACCAGAGTCATCGTCTGCTTCTTCCTCTGCTGGTCGCCCTACCACGCCTTGGCCCTGGCCAGGGTCTCCGCAGTCCCCATGCCCAGCGCCGTGCGCTTGGTGGCCATCCCCCTCTCCAAGTGCCTGGCCATGCTCAACAGCTGCATCAACCCCCTGCTCTACGTCTTCGCGGGCAGGGAGTTCCAGGACGCCGTTGGTGGCCATCCCCCTCTCCAAGTGCCTGGCCATGCTCAACAGCTGCATCAACCCCCTGCTCTACGTCTTCGCGGGCAGGGAGTTCCAGGACGCCGTGCGGAGGCCCCTGGTGCAGGCCTTCAAGGCAGCTTTCGAGGAGGCCCCGCCGGCCCATGTGTGAAGGGGGAGCCGCCGCGCTGCAGAAAGGGGGGTTGAGGGCTCCCCCTAGCAGGCTGGGCTGGCCCCAATGCCCCAGGGCAGCACTAGGGGGCAGAGCTGCAGGGGTGAATCCCCTATTCCAGGCCAGGACTGAGGGGAGTTCTCTGGTGATGCCCAGCCCTAACCGGGGTGAGAGATGGACATTTTCCCACATCACTGCCCTCCCCCTCCTTTCCCCTCAGACTGGGGGCAGAGCCCTGGGGCCAGCAAGCGCGGCTCGGAAGGAAATCCCACACTGCTCCCAAGCACCAGACTGGGAAACTCACCACAAAACTGGAGGAAAGAAGTGCTGGGTTGGGTCCACCGGGACATTTCAGGGCAAGCGGGGCTCAAACCCCCACTAAGACGTGCCAATTCATTTAAAGCCAGACCCCCCCCCCCTCGCCCCCAATACAACAAATGAGACTTCCCCCTCTGGTGCAGCAGACAAGCAAACCACAGAGACACTGGGGACCTTTCGGCCACCGAACCACAAACCAGCACAGGCCGATTCCTGCCTTCGAAAAACCTCGGTCCCCAAACGCAAAACCCATCGGCAAACCAAGAGGGGAATTTGGAAGTGGGAAAAACGCCCAACACCCAACCCCTGCTCCGCTGTGAACGCCCTCTGCCCGGCCACTGCCCCAGCTGGGATCCATTTCCAGCCCTCCAGTCCCCAGCACAGACGCCGGCGGGCGAACCTCGGCCAGCACTCGGAGGGGACC